CCCGCGCAGCCCCGCTGCTGCTTGGTGAGTGGGCCGGCCTGCCTGCGGCGCGTCTTCAGCAGCTAATTCGGTTTGCCCGTCGGCCCGGACACCCTGTTCGCCGCCTGCGCTCTTCGCTCGCGGCCGCGACCAGAAAAAAAGTATCCCCACCAGCCCGTCCAGAAATGAGTCCCAGGGGTGGAGGTGATGAGGGAAGCGGGGGAGCATGCAGAAAAACAAAGGGCGGGGTAAGCCGCCATATACCCCAAGAGGGGGAGGATGTAGGAGAAGTCGTCGTCGTCGGAGTAGGAGGAGGAAGAGGAGGAGCAGGAGGAGGAGGAGGAGGAGGAGGAGGAGGAGGAGGAGGAGGAGGGGGAGGAGGAGGAGGAGGAGGAAGATGATGAGGAGGAGAAGATGGAGAAGGGCGAGGACGTAGAGGACGAGAAGGAGGAGAAGGAGAAAGAGAAGGAGGAGGAAGAGGAAACGGAGGGGGAGGAGGGAGGAGGAAGAAAACGAGGAGGAGGAGGAGGACAATGGCGAGCTTGGGGGCCTCTTGGGCCGTCTTTGGGGCTTTTTGGCGGTCCCAGGGGCCTCTGGCGTATCTCGGGGAGCCTCTTGGGGCCTCTTGGAGGTCTCTTGGGAGCCTCTTGGAGGCCTCTTGGGCGCCTCTTGGGGCCTCTTGGGGCGCTCTTGGGGCGCTCTTGGGGCGCTCTTGGGAGCCTTCGGGGCGCTCTTGGGGCCATGTTGGAGGAGATCTATCAAAGAAGGGGGAGGTTGTCAATTTGCGCTGCTCCTTTAGAGTGCCTCGAATCGCCTCTTGTGCCCCGAAAGGGGCCAACATTCGTCCCAAACCTAGGGAATTCAATGCTTTTTTGCTTTCTCGCTTTTTCGTTCTTGGAGCCGTCTTGGGCCATCTTGGACGCCCCAACGACCCGCGGAACCCTCCGTCCAGGTCCAGGGGAGGGGGTAGGGGGAGGGGTAAATCCCACCCCGAAGGGGAAGAAGGGGGTTGGAAGAGGAAACTCTCTAGACCACCGACGCCCAGAGGGCTGGTGGGACTTGGACGGGCGTGGACCCGACATTGCGGGTGAAGGTGGAGGTGCGGTCTCGGCCCCCTGAAGCATGGACTGACGGAGAAGATTATGGGCTTGGGTACTGGCGTCGTTTGGTGGCCAGGCGTGAGCTTGACTCAGCGAGCACCAAGACGGATAATCCAAATCGGAGAATACCTTCTTGAAAGAAGGCCCAACTAAATGTAAGAAACCTTATCGCTCAAACTTGGTGAGCTGGTTCTTGACGGGCTGTGCCATCCTGTTCGCGCTGGTCTGTGTCATCCGTTGGTGGGGAGGCAGCGTCGCTGGACTCTTTGTTGGTTGGCGGCTATGAAAATACTTTAAGCTGAGCCTCTATTTCGAATTCTGTACGATGCGGTTATGGCCGCCAAGGAGATAGCAGATGAGGCTTCGGATTGGTTGAGTACCGTGTACGGCCCGTTCGAGACTGGTGAGCTGGAAACCCTGACGGTTTGGTCCAGATCCGCACTCTTCTGGTGATACTTGCTGCTCCAGGTGTGGGACTGGCGGGCGTAAGGCTCGGATAGCGACTGGGAATCAGACGGGCGCTCGGTTGCGGATGTGATGCCTGGTATTGGTGCCCGACATTTGCGACGAACCATCTGCCAAAGGACTTGACCACATGCGCAGCTTCACCGCGTGCGAGATGAACTTGGTGCTGGGCTGGCGGCCGTGACGGCGGCTCTCTCGAACGGTGACTCGGGAGGAGATCGGCCAGGTCGGCCTGGCGACAGGCTGGCCCGCAGTCCCAGGTTACGGCCCGGCACAATGCCGGAGCAGGCGGGATCCCCCCTCCTGCCTGCAAGGGCCGCTCGCATCGCGTTGAATGGAGCTTGATGCTGAGCCTCAAGCCGTTCGCAAGCGCCTGGCCAGCACCCTCGTCGCCATGCCAGCCTGCCAGTCCGGCAAGAGAGAAACGTTGCGTCGGAGACCGGCCTGACCAAATTCGATCTACCTGGACCCCAGCCAGCTCTGTGCACCTGTTGGGGGGGCTCCCGCGAGAGAGGTCGTGTCCGTCGTCACTGCCGTTGTCGTACCTGTGGAAGGTAACCCTGGGCGAGGTCAAAGCGGCCAAAGCGGCCGCGCTGTAATCAAATTGCTCCGCGCGCCCTGCAGCCCACCCCAGATCGTCGGCCCTCCTACGAGCGCCTGGCGAGAAGTGTGGCCCTGAAGGCGGGGCGTGACTGCGTGCACATTCCACACGACGAGGTTGTGGGAAGTGGGGGTGGGCATTCAGAAGGAGCTCATTTTTTGCTTGCTCGTGGTATGGAAGTTCTGGGGCGGACCAAATCCGCACCGCGGGACTTTGGCTGCATATCAAGCCTCTGGACGGATGGGCTTAGATAAGTCAGAGCACTCGAGAGAGGTCGGGCCCCTGGTCGCACAAAGCTGGCCAGAGAGGTTGATGTGCGCAGGTGATGTTGGTGATGTTGTGGAGTCATCGTCCAGTTCAATATTCACCCGCAGCACTTCCTCATGGTCCTGATAGTTTTATGTTGAAGGTCGGTCGTTCCGTTTTCCGCTCGAGACTCGTGCTAAGCTGTGTGATTGGCGAGAATATAGGCATTTGGTTTTGGGCACTTGCTCCTTTCCGCCTCCCCTCCCCTTCTCCCCACATTCGCTGGCGGACAACAGAAGAGTCGACTGCTCCGGCAGCGGCAAGGTCACAATTGCCTACCTGCCTCGCGACGGCGGCAGCACCACCGCTCACGTTCTCAACTTCCCACGCGGCTACAGCGACGGCAGCAGTCACAACGCGACCTTCACTCGAATGCCCAACCAACTCCTATAACTCCGCCTGGACCCCCCCTGCGTAGTACCAGATACCCGTCATCACGCCTACTTTCAGAGGGAACGATGAAGTACAACCTGACGATGGGGTAGATGCGCTCGTAGTATTAAGTTGGCTGCACGAAGCCGCAAGTAGCGCAACGTTTCTTGTTGATCTCACGTAAGGGTGCACTCGGCCATCATGAAGATGTTCATCGTGAGTTGGTGCACTTCAACCTCCGCTCTGCCCAGAACCATGTCTCACACCACCCCAGCTGCCTCTGAGAGCCGCGACGCGCACTCCAAGATACGGGGAGGCGGGCGGACAACGCGGGCGGGATGCTCAAGATGGCAAGCCGCCCTGCCGCGTTACTTGGTGGGGGCGGGGGAGGACGTGGAGAGGTTCTGAGGATGCAGAGGCCTCGGACCTAAAGCGTGGATCTGCCCCGCCTCTGGCACCTCTCCCCAACCCCAGAGGTAACGGGGCAATAGGCGGTCGTGGAGTAGGGTGGGGGGACCACAGCGCCTCTTCGTCGCCACCTCGCCACCATGAGCCACGCGGAGGCTTGGCATCGCTCGAACGTGTGCACTCTTCCTCGGCCCCGCCTCGGTCGCTTGCGCCCATAGGGGGAGGAGCAGGGGCCTCGCTCAGGGAGGGCAGGGCCGTGGTGAGGTGGAGCTCCTCCTGCCCCTCGGGGCTCAGGGGGGGGGGGAAGGGGTTCGCGCTCGGGCCCCGCCCGCCGCCGCACCGCCCGCAGCTGCGTGCCTGTTTCTAGCTGCAGCCTCCGCCGTCGCCGCATCGTCGTTTGTCGTCGACGTCCTTTCGTCTCCCTCCCTTACGGTGGGGGGCGTTCGTTCAGGAATGCGCCCAGGAGGCTTCAGACCCGGGAGGGTTCCTTATCTGATAAGGGCGGCGGTGATACCCATTGCCAATACACTATTGGCTTTCCACTGGCTCCCAGACCCTGGATTCCTTATCTAAGGGTTTGTTTATCCAATGCCCACACCGTACCCTCGTCTCTTTGCCGTTCCCGCTCAAGCGCTACTTCCACTTGCGCCCATCCGGGTGCCATGCGGCGCCTGGAGAGGGCGGGGCTGCTTCTCCCAAGGGGCCCTGCCGCCTGCAGCGTCAGCGTCGGGAGGAGAAGGACGAGGGGGGAGAGACACAACACCGCACGCCTGGTATGAGGATGAAGGGGCGGGGATCATGGAGGAGGAGGAGGAGGAGGAGAAGGAGGAGGAGGAGGAGGAGAGGAAGAGGATGATGAATCTGCTGGAAGACTGGAATATTGAGCACTGTAAAGGCTCATCCTCAAACTGATGATAAACTCGGGAAACTTGCCAAGAAAGATGGCGCCCACTCCCGAGCACAAGGTCTGGTGCTTCCAGCGATCTCCCTCCTGTGCTATGCCACCCAGGCCCCCCTAGTCCGTGCAAGCAGCATGATTGGGCGAAGGGCTGGGTCATCCACAGGGCCGCGAAGGTAATCGCGCTCCGCGCCTTGCCGCCCTGGAGAGTCGTTCTTCCCTAGAGGGTGGCGTGAGAGCGCGAAGATCACCTCCCGCGGCGCGGACCGCGAAGTTGGATCTCCAGTGATCTCCAGACGCCTCCAGGGTCCCCAGGAATCCCTGGAGGCCTCTGGAAGCTCCCAGGGGCCCCAACATAGCAAAAACGCCCAACAACCTCGATCTTGAGGGGACAGCAGATACCGTTCCAGTTACTCCCCAGACCTCTCCAGGCGCGCGTTCTGACCAGGATTTCGAGGCGAATCCAGCCGAGGCGACGAGGGAAGGGAAGCGGTATCGGTACCCTTCCCCTTCCTGGGATCCTCGGGTCCCCTCTCGGACCTCCACGAGGAGGGGGTGCGCGCGGCGGTGCTACCGCGCTGTTCTGCTGGCCTCGTGAGCCCGTTCGTGGCTCGCTCCTCCGCTCGCCAGTCGCCGTTCCCGCTCGCCCTCCGGCGTCGTCCAGGGACCAGGGGCAAACGTTCGGGGGGGATAGGCTCAGAGGGTGGACGCATCGAGGCCAAATCGCCCATCCGTCGATCGCCCCCGCCCCGCCCAGGAGCGTGCGGATTCGCCAACCGGGGCCAATCGTCGTTCTATCGGCGATGCGCCGCCGATTCCAGGTCGATGCTCTCCCCGTGCCAGTCCCCTCTTAACGTTGCTCCTCATGCAGGGAGCTGGCCTCCATCCACCGCTGCGACGCCACCCTGGCGGTCTCGGAGGAGGAGCGGCGGGCCCCGGTCGTCAGAGTAGGAAAAAGGTAGCGATGCCGCTGCACTGGCCTCGTTTTGCCTTTTGGACCTCCTGGGGGCCCTCGTCGCCACGGCTGGATTCGCCTCGAAATTGCAGTCAGAACGTACCCCGGGAGAGGTCCGGGGAGTAGCCGTACCGGTACCTTCTGGAGGATGATCCAGGCCTCCAGCATCTTGAGAAGCCAAGGGGTGTTTTTTGTTCCTCGGCTCGTAGAACCCATTTTCTGTCTCCAGGGCCGTCAGTGACTCGACGCCGACATGCCCATGCATGCATCTCATTTTCTGGCACTGTCTTAATCTCTGAGCACGAGGGAGTCTAAGCCTGAGTGCGACTGATTGCGAATGAGCCTGAGTGCGAGCGCTATTTTCTGTTGGTCTCTGCCGCTATCTGCTGATGTTTGCCGTTCGTTGCTGCGCTGTGTTCCTGTGCGCTGCTCTCTGGTTCTCTCTGACCTGCCCTCTGCAGCTCTTTGCTCCTCTTCGCCACCTCAAGACCGTACCCACTTCTTCCTCTGCGCTCGACACCGTTATGTGTGGTCCCCAAATGCCATTCCTGCTGCAACGCGGAGACCACAGAGCTCTGAAACGTGTCAAGTCCACGGCCCCCTGAACGGTAACTTCCTCATACGGGTCAGGGTGAAGCGCATGCAGAACAGGAACCACAAGATGTTCAACATGAACTGCAGCGACCAAAGTTACCATTGGCGATTGTAAGGAGACATCGGCTGCTTCATCTCTTTCGTCGGCAGAATAGAGCAGCTGAGACCGCGCTGCGGTCACAAACTCATTGGTCGACTGACAGCCATTTTTGTGCACGTACCTCATCACGGCCGTGTTGTATCAGCCAAGGGCCTTCCGAAACGTATCGGGGGCGCCTTCGAGGTTGAATTCGTCACAGACATCGACGTTCAAGAGCACGCAGTATTGTGAGCAGAGAATGTTTTCGGTGTGCGACTGTGAATACTCAGAGGCTAGACTGGTCTCGCATAGACAACCGCCTCAAGCTAAAGAGCTTGCTGGAAGTGATGCGTACTCAGTCTTGGGAGATACTTTGCTTGACAGAACTTCATGGTGACACCAGCGCACTGGGAGTTCGAGAGCTCATCTACGTTGAAGAGTTCACATTGGTTGTGGCAGGAAGACTGGGGTTTCTTCTCAGCATGGGAGCTCGTATTGCATGGCAAGCTGCAGGAGAACAATTTTTGTACACGAGTGACAGGGCGTGTGGCATTATCCTGGGGACAGAAATGGGGGATACGATAGGAGTGGCATCCACATATTTACCGTCTGGGAGTGGAGCAGCCAACTTGGACGAGGCCGATAGATCGGTACGCGTACTATGTGCATATTTACAAAAAAGTGGGATAACAGTATTTCATATTGGGGGATTGGAACGCACATATTGGGAGGGACGCAATGAGTGACGAAATACATGTGGGAATATATGCGATGCAGACTGGCACGACGGCTGGAGGGAGAAGATTTCTAAATTGGATAAGAACTACGAATCTTACCAAAGTGGACAGCTATTTCAGAGTACGTAACAGAGGGACTTGGAGGCACAAGAACACAAAATGGTATGATATCGTTTTCACGCGTACGCCGATGGACACCAGAAAGCAGATTCAGAGCAAAAACATGCGGAGAGTTATCGTTCACAGATCACATTGCCAAATTATATCAGATTATGGTCAAATCCACAGACACGAAAGAAAGAAAGTCGGCGAGAGCACGCAACTTTCAGAGTATCAAAGCACGACATGAACGACAAAATAACGCGAACAGGAGGCTGTTGTTATACAAAATGAAAGGTACACCAGAGGAGGCGAGTGCACTTCGTGAACAACATGAGCAAAATATCGTGGACAAATTAAATACGTCGAGAGAGGATCAAGCAAGACCAGAACCAATACAGCCAACGAAGTTCAATACGGAGAGACAACAGACAGAGCAAGAAAAAGTGGATGACCGAGTAAAAATAAACGATTGGAGTGGGCACTGGATTGAGATGAACACGGACTGATCTTTCATTCCTGGAGAAACGGCAGGCTGGGGAGTATCGATGGCGGAGAATGGAAAATGTTTTCTTTTCTACGGTCCTGTGATTTTGGACAAAGAACACGAAGAGTATGTGGGAGCTAACAAGTCCAGTAACAACACTGGCGAATTGGAGACAATACTATTCGGATGCAAAGAATTATACATGAGACAAAAAACAAGGAGTTGAGTGAGCTGGCGCCAGTGGTCATATTATACGACAGTGAATACGCAGCAAAGATGTCTACTGGACGGTGGAAACCAAAGTCGAATATCGAGCTGATCAAGAATGTCAGAAAGTGGGTACGTCGGCTCCAGGCGAGCAGAGTTGTGATTTTCAAACACGTTAATGGCCACAGTGGAGCGGTCGGGAACGAGCAGGCGGATAGAAACGCTGACAGGGGACGGGAGGGCGAGAGAGCATTTCTTGTGAGTCGTGCGATTGCAGAGGTGGCCGATTTAGGCCAAGGAGCATCTCTTGCGAGTTGTGCGAATGCAAGATCGACTGATCTGAGCGCGGCCGAAAGGCCAGGAGCCAGAGCAGCGATGATAGAGTCGCGGGAGATGGATTTCGAAGAGATGCTGATGATGGAGGAGGAGCAGGAAGCAGCGTGGGCACGATATCTGGAGGAGCCGATGGAGGAGATGAACATGCAGATGAACCACGGGGAGGAGGAGGAGGACAGGATCGATCGAGAGCGAGAAAAAGCCTTCTGGGATACGGGTACGTGGTTATCTTGGGACCAAGATTCTAAAGTATTGGTGGAAAGCGCGGGGGAGGTGGTGGGCAGGGGGAGATTCGGCAAGATTGGGGTGCCATGCACGGCGGAGGCAATGGAGCGCATAGACTGAGAGTCAAAACAACTTGCCGAAATGTGGGAAAACAGCCGTAGGCTTCAAGGTGCCGATCTTGGGGGCCAGCTGCGGAGGGATATGTTCTTGAAAAGAACACAGTTGAGCACATTCAAAAGAGAGGCTCGTGAGGAGTGGGTAAACAATACCATCGCAGAACTCCAAAAATCAATCGCTCGTGCTGATCTTGGGTATTTCTATAAACTGCTCAAGAAAACAGGGGTCCATGCGCATGGCAAGAGTAGGAGAGGTCAGGGACCGTGCGCGGCGGAGGAGGCGGCCAACTTCGTAAAAGGTGTGATGGGGGACGACGTTGGGGAGGTTTCGGAGGAGACTCTGGGCCAGGGCACGCCGCGGATCCCAGTCAACAAGGACTTGGATGAACCCCCAGACGCGGACGAGGTCGCACACGCGACCGCTGAGATGAAGGAGAGCCAGGCGGGAAAGGATGAAGTATCGATATCCATAATTAAATGGGGAGGGGACAAACTGTTAGTGGAAATTGTTCGTCTTATTCGAGGAATGTGGAGACAGGGGCCTGAACATTGGGCGAGATCTATTCACCGAGCTGTGGGGGGTTCTACTGCGCAAAAAAAAAAAGAGGAGACAGACGGAACGTTGCCAATTATAGATGTATTTGGTTGATTGCGATTATCAGTAGAATTGCAGCTAAACTTATCGCGACGAGACTGAGAAATCACTGTGGGTCTAATGGGTTATGGCCTGAGACGCAATGGGGATTTAGACAACATCGATCTACGATGGGGCCGATTTTTATTCTCAGAGTGGTGCTGGAGCTTTTGGCAGAAGCAAAACCATCAGAATCATGGGCGACTCCCAAAAAGAACTTGGCGGTAATTATGGCAGACGTTCGGAGAGCATATCCTAGGGTAGTACGACCAGCAATGGACAAAAGTATTGGAGCGCAGCGGTATACCAGCTCGATGTATGAGGGTGATGCTGGGGCTCCATCAGATGACGGAGTACGCGATCAGGACTGCAGGAGGTGAGAGTGAACCATTATTTTTGCTTCGCGGTCTTCGGGAAGGATGCCCCAGCAGCCCTGGCGAGTTCAGTCTTTATCACGCACGCACTATGCATAACTTCTCTGCACAGGCTCGTGCTCAGTTTCCTGACGCAGGAGTGGGGGTGGAATCAAAGGAGGGGAGGAGACTCAAGGAGTGTGGAGGAAGAAAGAATCCTAAACCGTCAGGTCTCGGTGATACTGTAAGATTGCTGGAGCTCCTTCTCGCGGATGACACTAACGTGATCATTAGTGCGACCGACCGCGAAGCAGTGGAGCGCCTTTTAGAAGAGACTTTAAGAGTTTGGGGGCAGGAGGTGGCACCGGAGAAGTACGAGAGGATTAACGCGGGGGAGGTGGAGGAGTCGGAGACTGAGTTGTACTCATCTGCAGTTCGCTTTCTGCCTGGGTACAGGCAAACGGCAAGCGCGACAGAGACAACCAAGAGCGGCTCTCCCGTGCGAGTATTGTGTGGAGAAAGGTATACAGACAGATACCTCGCTGGGGACTGGCGCCGCTGACTTTAGGCAGGCTGGTCAAGGCAGCGGTGCTTGGAGCGCTACTCTACGGATGTGAAGCTCGAAGCTTTACTGCCGCGCAGTTGCGCGCATATGAAATATTCTGGAATAGGGTCGCACGAGGGATAAGTGGGCAGAAGATTCGGGAAATTCATGAGGCCAAATTGACTATGCCAGACCTAAGAGCTAAGCATGGGTTAGACACGATTCGGATATATATATCGGGCAACGGCAACTTCACTCTCTAGGACATATCGTTCGTCTCCCCCAGCATCGTATCGAACGACAGGTTTTATTTGGATGGCTCTCGGAATTTCGTGAATGTGATCGGGGCAAGTCGAGAACGGTGAGGCCTTCTACGAGGGCCCAGTATGCCAACAGGGTGGAGGAGGCGGTGGTGATATCGGAGTTGGGCGGAAGTACGAGGAGGGAGAGGGAGCAGGGTTGGCAGCAGATAGCAGAGCAGAGAGTACTCTGGCGAGCGGTTGTGCGCAAGTGGGTCAAAGCTGAGCGGGCCAAAGACCACAAACATTGCTGGAAAGTCAAACACGCGCCCGGAGGTAAATGCGATCAGGCTTTGGCCCGCCAGCAAGCGAGACTCGCTGCTCTCACGGGCGTGACTTTTGACGCCAATGGCCAGGCAGTGTGTCCTCGCTGTGAGAAGGGCGGGATCCTGGTCAAGTGGCACTCGCGGCAGTTGGCCGCCCATGTTTTACCTTGCAGTACGAGGAATTCAGAACAGCGCCACGCAGCAGCTGCTGGCCGTCGCATGGGAGAGGAGAAAGAGAAAGCTTCGATTGGAGTGGGTGGTGGAGGATGGCAGGGGGCAGCACAAGATGTAGGTCAATCTCATGAGGAGGCTGAAGAGGCCCGGCTGGCTCGCATTCGTGCGTGCGTCTCAGCCATGGCCAGCGCATCGGTTTCGTCACCTGTCTCCGCTCAGGCTTGCAAGAGACGGCTATTGAGCAAGCAGAAATATGTGGCGGCTGAGGTCCCCCTTGGAGGCGCTCGGGATGTTCGGGCCCGTCGGATCCGAGGCAAACAAGCTCGTCCAGACGGAGATCGACGGCCCGAGGGAGGAGGGGGGGGATCATATCCCCCGTGGTAAGTTTCGGAAAGGTCGAGCACAACACACTGGACCACAGGAGCGGGCACCGATGAGCATTCGTCATACGCTCAAGAGGAAGAGGGAGGAGGCGGAGGTCAGCATCAAGGGTGCCAGCTCGGATTTCAAAGAGATGGTGGAGGAGGCGAGGAAGAAGAGGTTGGTGGAGCAGAAAACCAGGTATCGGATAGGAGGGGGGGACGAGGGCATGCAAATCATTCTATCTATCAGGGGGTTTGAGTACTCCAGAGGGGCAGAGGATTATTGCTGAGATGTTGAGCGAGTTCCCGATTCCAGAAGCCAGTTTTCAAAGGCAATGTCGGGGCAAGAATTGCAGAGTGTGTTCTACGTGTTATAGATGTCGTGAATATGGGTGTTGCTTTGGAGGAAAATGTCAAGATTGGGGTTGTGCGGTGTGCTCTAAATGTACTAGATGTCGTAGTGCGTTGCATGATGACGAATGGAAAGTGGCGGAGCTTATCTTAGCTCGGAGGGGGTGTATTCCGACGGCGATCCAGGGACTTCAGCGGCCCCCGAGAGAACCTGGAGCAGATCCATTGAAATGCCAGTGGTGTAAGGAGCCTTCTGTGAATATGACAAAGACTGCAGCACATGAACGGGCATGGCTTCATATGCCATATGATATGTGGGTCGCACGCGCGCGGCATTGCTTGAGCACGCAGAAAGATCGCACGGCTGCTTGTGATCATTGTGGTACATTATTTCAGACGAAGCGTGGATCGGTCCAGCATGGGAAAATTGTGCACACAGACGTGAGATTGCAGGTCTGCCTCTAAACAAAGAAAGATGGCGCAACACGGCTGAAGATGCTGCTAAACTGTAACCCGTTGGGGAGTGGTGCGAGAGGCCCCGCCGCTCCAGCATGTAATTTGCGCCGTGTGCGTTTTTGGTGTTCAACTATGAGTTGAGGGATTTTGTTATTCAGCTACCAGCATTGTGTCGGGCCAACTTCCTAGACTGTTATCGATGGCGGATATCATGGCGGATGTGCAGCAGGCGCGTGCCAGAGTGCAGCAGGGAGGAACAGTGGTGAGGACAAAGCAAAAGAGTGATCCAACAACTTGTGGAGACGCCGATGTACTTCGTTACCTGTCGAGAGACTACTTGATGTTCAAGGGCGAAGCCAAACATATGATAATCGCGAAATCTTTGGTGGCATTATTCAAAGCAGAGACGATCAAAATGACGATGGTGCATTTATTGCAGAAATGGGAAGATGACAAGTCAACAGTTACCGACGAGCAGAAAAAGAAAAAATAATTTCTTGACCATCCGAGTGGTTGCAATAGGAAACACACATATGCATTTACATCGGCTATGGCTTTGCTGGAGCAGGAGTGCAAATCTGATCATGTTGAGGCAGCTAAACTTGCCAAAGAATTGCGTGGTTTGCCAGTGACGGAGAGAGATCTGATTGCCGCAGTATTCAAAGCAAAGTTCAATACTCCAAAGGAGAAGCGTACGTGGAAGTTCGAGTGGATCATGAGTGACTTCTGTACGGGCAAGCACAAACTTACTGTATACAAGCTGGTCACGGGTATGCAGAAGAGGGATGTGGTGTCTATGGAGATGTCTAAGATGGTACCACAGGCAGACTCTGAGGCAGCCGTCTGGGGCTGATTGAAGAAGCAGGCCAGGTAGCCCGCTCGGGGCGCTCGGCCCGCCCTCCTTTTGGAGCCTGGGCTGGCGCCTGGGCCAGGGGGGGGGGCACGATGTCCCGGGGCACCACGGTCGGCACATCGCCGACGTTTTTGGTACCCTTTTGGATGAGGTTGCTCGAGTTTTGTGGATGAGCTGGGAATCCTGTACGAGTATTCGTGGTCTGAGCAACTGCATCATCTAGTGCGTCGTGTCCTGGGGCGCCCCGTGATGAATTCGGTGTGCAATTTTTGGCTGAGGATGGCTTGTATTCTTTTTGAATGGAGTTCAAAGTATCTTGAATGACGAGCTCAACTACATCTTTTACAACCAAGTCCACGGCCCCGAACGGAAGTCTCGCCCGAGATCACCGGAATCTGTGCGCGAACGGCCCCGTGGAACGCCCCTGGTCGGCCCCCCGTGTGGGAGGCCAAAGTGAATTCATGCTGCGTTCCAGTGATCGTGAGGCTCTGAAAAGTGCCACGCTCACCGCCTCAAGCGGGTGGTTCGCTTGAGAGGTCCCCGCAATCTGGGCGCGAATGGGCCCGTGTAGCACCCCTGGTCGACACCTGCTACATCGCGGCTACCAGGGGGCTCTGAAAATCGACGCGCCCACCGCTCAAACCGGGCGTCTCGCTTGAGAGGTCCTGACAATGTGGGCGCGAACGGGCCCGTGGAACAACCCTGGTCGACACCCCCTCAGCAGACCCACATGCCATGCCTGCTACATCGTGATGATCATGATCATGAGGTATACTGTGAGTACCTGAGTCTGCGGATGAGATGGTCTGATTGCGAAGGAATCTGAGTATGAACGGGTCAGAGTGAATCCGATGATGAGTGAGTTTGAGTATGGGTGGTCTGAGTGTGTGTGTGTGGGGGTGTCAGTTTGAGCGAGTCTGTGTCTGAGCGAGTCTGAGCATGAGTGAGTCTGAGTGTGACACGTTCTGAGTGTGAGTAAGTCCGAGTATGGGTGAGTATGAGTACGAGTGCGTCAGGTAATGAGTGCGTCAGGGTGTGATTGAGTCTTATATTGCGTGAGCCTGAGAATAAGTGAGTATCATGATGGTTAAGTCTGAGTATGAGTGAGTCTGAGTGCGAGTGCGTCAGAGTATGAATGAGTCTTAGTGTGAGTGAGTGTGACTGAGTCGGGCATTTAGTGCACCTGAGTCTGAGATGGAGAAGGGAGGATGCGGGCGGAAAAGAAGTAAGCCGGAGGGGTCCTGCTAGTAACAAGGAGCCCATATCCAGTATAGTGGAGCGATGCAGGAAGGGAAGCCTGCCCTTGGGATGTGGTCGTGACTTCCGCGAGCTGTTCGGTTTGCTAAGCAACCAACGGCTTGGGAGGCCCATCTTGGATTTCGCACGACTTCGGCCTATTGTGGACCGCCCGAGGCCTTGTGGAGGTCCCCAGAAGCCTCCAGGGATCTCCGCCTCTACCCCGCTCTAGCTACATTGCCATGGTTCACCTCACTTCGTTCACATCTCCCTTTCCCTCGTTCCCGCCCCTGCCATGTCCAGTGGTGAGCACCTTCCCTTCTGCTTCTGCTGACCGTCCCTCCGTGTCCCTCCCTCCCCTCTTTGGATTCTTTCCTTCATTTCATTATCCCTCCCCTCTTTCTCCTCCCGATACATCCGATCTTTGATGTTTGCAGTGCGGGTTCGCGGGAAATCCCGACTCCTGCACAGTACCAGCTTTTCATCCTGAGTAGTATGTTGACGGACTTGAGGTTCAGAAGCGGTGTCTAGACGCCGAACATGGAGGAACACATCGTTTTGCTGTTCCAGGGTGTTGGAGGTTTGGGACCTCGTTCCTTCCCGCTCATACTCCTCATCTTCTTCGCTCCTCGCGCTTGATTCTCTATCCTGTTTGCTTCTCGTGGCTACCCCCTATCTCTCCCCCCGGGTGCAGAGGGGTGGGGGAGTGGTTCTGGTTTTGGAGACCCCACAGATCTTTCAGCCAAGCGCCTGTGAAACGCGCTTTCTCCCCGTCTCCACTCTCCCTCTCTCCTCCCCTCCTCCCATCTCTTTGCCCTCCTTCCCCTTCCTCCTATTGCTGCTCGTCCACCTGGTCAACCTCGCATCCCACTCCTTTTCACTCCCCTCCTTCCTCCCACTGCGGGTTCCTCTCCTTCCTTCCGCTGCTGCCCCTCCTGCTCTAGCTCCACGCCCTCTCCCTGTCCTCCTCGTCCTCTTCGTCCTCCTCTCTCCCCTGCTTCTCCTCCTGCCTCCCCTCTCTCCCGCTCGCCGTCCTCGCCCTCCCCGCCCTCCCCTGGGGGGGGGGAGGGCCTGCTCCGCCACTGGTCAGGAGCGAGCGATGCTCGTGGACGTGTACGGGGTGCCCGCGCACAAGGCCTTGGGGGCCGGGGACCCCGAGGAGGGAGGAAGGAGGCGGAAGGAGGAGTAGTGCTTGTCTCTCTCTCTCTCTCGCATTTCTCTCTCTATCTCTCTCTCACACTCTTTCTTTCTTTCTTTCTTTCTTTCTCTCTCTCTCTCTCTCTCTCTCTTTCTTCATTTATTTCTTTCTTTCCTGTCTCTCTCTCTCTCTCTTTCGCCTTTCTCTCTCTATCTCTCTCTCTCACACTCTTTTTTTTTGTCTCTCTCTCTCTCTCGTTATTTCTTTCTTTTTTTGTTCCTCTCTCTCTCTCTCAAAGAAGGTTTAAGTGCGCGTGGCGCTTGTGTGCAGCCACGGCGCCTCCACGGAGCCAACGCGTACTGCACGGGCGCAACCGGCACCGGGAGCGGGCGCGCGCGAGCGCGCGCGCGCGAGGCGCACGGGCGGGCCTCCACCGCCCAGCGCGCCAGGAAGCGGGTTCCCATCGGGGGGGGTGCAGCGGGTCCAGGCAGGCCGGGGCGGGCGGGTCGGGGCGGGGCTCCCAGCCTCGCGCCTTCGCCGCCGCGGCCTTCGCGGCCCGAGCAGCCCGAAGCAGCAGGGCGGCCTCCTCGCACGGAGGCCGCGCCCATCCGCGTGGCAGCCGAGGGGGCCTGGGCAGGGGACGGGTCGGGGTCGGGGTGCCCTGCCCCCGCGTTCGACGGCAAGTCATGGGAGCCTGGCATGCCCTCTTCATGCCGTCGTTAGCGTCGACTAGCGTCGGTTAGCTTCTGGAGTCGATGAGACAGCGCCGACTTCGCTTCGATCATCGTCGATCTAGCGTCGAGTCGCGTCGATTTAGCGTCGATTAGCGTAGGTTCGCAAGAGCCGGCAAGATGGCATGGGAGGCCCCTATGATTTGCCAACGAACCCGCGTGTCCTCTGCTTCGTGCCCCTCCTTTTCCTGCTCTCTCAGGGGTCGTTTGGGGATGACCTGGTGGGAGCCTCTGCGCCAGCGTGGGTCGGGGAGGGTCCAGGACACGAGTCCACGCCCTGCGGACGCCGGGCTTGGGAGGGCCCTGGTCGCGGAGCTGCCACTGGTCTCCGTAGCGTGCCCGAGAGAAGCGAGCCGCAGCGTCGCAGTGCCCCTTGCTGTGATGATCCTGACAGGCCTTGTGCACAGCACCTGGGGAGGGCATCTTGTGACCCCCTCTCGCATGGTTTCCCGAAAACGTTCACAGCAGCAGGAGGTCAACTGGTTCAAGCCGCCCCGCCTGCAGATATCAGCGAAGAGCAGATCGTGGCCCCCGCAAATGCCAGGGCGTCCCGTGCTCCTCATGGAAGCCTCCTCACTCCCAGGGGCCTCAGGGTGCTCCACGGGGTCTGGGGGCCCCACTGTGGGGCCAGCAGGCGACATTGAGGAGCGAAGGGGGTGGGAAGCTAAGGGATGCCTTGGAGCTTGACCCTTGTGAGCCATTCCGTTTTGTCCTTGTCGGCCAGCCGGTCTCTTTGTATGCATTTGTTCAGAGGTTACGAACCGGGCCGCCTCTTGAGCAAAAGAGACAGCTCTCCACGAGCAAGAGCTGGTGAGCGGAGGTGCGAAAAGGGATCGGCTCCTTGCCTCGCTAACCTAACAGCATGTTGGTTTCCTGAAACCTACTGCTCAGGCCTCCACGTGCAGCTTTCCTATGTACGTGGGCAACCACCTTGGTCATACAGGCATGCTCCAGCGTCTCCTTCACTATGGACCACCGGAGGCACCAAATCTAGTTGCCATGCGCCAGGCGGGCAAGTAGAGATGTCAACGAAGTTGTCGTTTCGCAATCCACGTGCAGCTCTGCCCCTGGCTCGATGGGCGTGTAGTCGGGTGAATCCTCGGCGTCGTGGGCGAAGCGATCGATGGCTTCATCCAGGAACATGACGCCGAATATTGAGTGCAGGAGGTCGCCGTTCGCGTCGACCACAACCACCAGCCTGACTGCTGCCCACAAGGCTGCGGTCAATGTCGAAAGAAGGACCGCTCGTGATGGTCCGCCAGTCTTTGGGCCAATTGATGCGTTGGATGTGTGATGCTGCTGGGGCCCTCAGATGCCCGCCAAAGCAGGAGCCTGGATCAGGAAACGTGGCGTTCACAAAGAATTCCCCTTCAAACTCGGGCAGACCCATCATGCCTATCGCAGATTATTTCAACGAAGGGCCGAGGTGGTCCCTGTGAGAGGACCAGGACGAGCAGCAGGATCAGGAAGAGCACCCAGACATCAGACACCATGTTTTTTTCGCTACGGGCCCCTGGAGCTCTCCACCCCTTCCTTGGGATCACCTTCTCATCCCAATCAGCTGTTTCGAAGGTCGCAGGTGTCGAAACAGGCGGCTGAAACGTATGGGAACCACAGCCGTCGTGATTGTCGCGCGCAAGTCATGACTGCTGAGCCTCACGGTCGAGACCTGAACATGTCCTGGTGCGTTCTGGTCGGCATTTCGATCCAGAGACAGTACAACACGTAGAACAGTTTAGATCCATTCCTCGACCCCCGAGCAGCGAGGGCCAACATCTGTCCAACATCTGTTCAACACTGCCCCCGGGCCCCATCCCGCCAAGTTTCTGCAAGCAGCGCCCAGGCGTGGCGACGAGAGGGGCCCCCGAGGGCCAACAAGTGGCCTCGAACCTCGAGCCCCTGTTGCTTCTCGTCTGCTTCTCCTCCCCCTCGCCAGGCAGCGCAGGGCGCTGAGCGAGCCAGCGGCGCGGTGCGTGTTCCCGGCAGTCTCCCGCGCACCTCTTCTCTGAACCTCGCAGGCCGGCGTGCTCACGCGGCCGCCGTGCTCACGAGGCCGCCGTGCTCACGAGGCCCGCCTGCTCCTGAAACATCCAGCGAAGCCCCGGTGGCGAGAAGCAGGAGGGGGAAGGGGCGGAGGACCCTGACATCCCCCGATCCCCTTCCACGGGGGCGCCCCGCGCCGCGTGGCCGCGCCTCGGCTGCGCGGAGAGCCGACAGGTGCACGCGGCGACCTTTGGCCACGAGGAGCTGTCGCCGCTCGCGGAGCTCCCGGGCTTCGCGGCGCGGAGGGACGTGAGCCGCGGGCTGAGCAGGGCGGGGCGAGGGGCGATGAGGATGAGAATGAGGATGAGGATGGTGCCGCTGATGCTGATGATGATGATGCTGCTGATGATGCTGCTGCTGATGATGATGCTGATGCTGGTGCTGATGCTGATGCTGCTGCTGATGATGCCGATGCTGATGACGATGACGACGATGATGCTGATGATCATGATGCTGATGCTGATGATGATGATGAAGATGAATATGATGATGATGATGATGATGATGATGATGATGATGATGATGATGATGATGATGATGATGATGATGATGATGATGATGATGATGATATGATGATGATGATGAGATGATGATGATGATGATTGATGATGATGATGATGATGATGATGATGATGATGATGATGATGATGAGGATGATGATGAGATGATGATGATGATGATGATGATGATGATGATGATGATGATGATGAGGATGATGATGATGATGATGATGATGATGATGATGATGATGATGATGATGATGATGATGATGATTGTGATGGTGATGGTGATGGTGATGGTGATGGTGGTGGTGGTGATGATGATGAGGGGGAGGAGGAGGAGGAGGAGGAGGAGGAGGAGGAGGAGGAGGAGGAGGAGGATGGCGAGAGGACAAGGAGCGAGGAGGATGTGGGTGAGGATTGAGGATGAGGATGAGGATGAGGAAAGGGGAAGGAGGAGGAGGATGAGGAGAAGGAGGAGGAGCGAGGAGGATGTGGATGAGGATGAGGATGAGGCGGAGAGGAGGAGGAGGAGGAGGAGGAGGAGGAGGAGGAGGAGGAGGAGGAGGAACGACCAGTGTAAACCCAAGGCTCACCAACGATATTGTTTCAGGATCAAAAATGGTGAGGAAGTCTCAGGCGAAACGCCTGCCCCGCCCTAAAGACCGGCCTCGAGGTGCGAGATGGAGATTTTTTTGATAAGGAATGGAGGAGGAGGAAGAGGAGGAGGAGGATGAGGAGGAGGAGGAGGTGGAGGGTGGAGGAGGAGGTGGAGGTGGAGGAGGAGGTGTACGGGTAGGAGGAACGAGGAGGAGGAGGAGGAGGATGAACACATCGCACGGACTGCTCAGCGACGTCGAAATTGATGAGCTGGTGCTTTGCGGCGTTGGCGTAGCGGCCAGTTCGCGGATGAGGAGACACGCGGTGTGGCGTTCCGAGACGAACAGTTCCAGAGCGTTTCGGAACGCTCCCAGAGCGTTCTGCAGCGCTCTGGAACGGCCTCGGCGCACGATACATCCTCCAGAACCGCTGGATCTCAGACATCCGCGACTTGTCCAATTTTGCCCCGAGAGCGAGAGAGGACCCTGCGATCTCCTCGGCGTCTCACTTTGTTCGCGCCGTGCGTTTTCGCTCGGTCTCGGCCCCTTGGACCCTACTGGATCCGTTCTGCTTGAGTTATGCCGTATAAAGACGAAGTCGAGGGACGAGGAAACGTCCCCCTTCGCGGCATGAAGAAACCACATCGGAAGGACCAAGGCAATGAAGCCCATGTGTGACTGGTCGTCACTTGGGCAGCTCGGCTGGTACGGACGGCGATGAGAACAAGGATAGCGTGTTAAGTCTCGACTACTACATCCCGACGCACGCCGTGGGCTTGCAGCGCAAGGCTGCCGCGGCCAGAGCCCGCGTTCGGGTCCCGTTGAGGTCAGCTTCAGCGCATCCAAGGAGGTGAACGGAATCAAGGTTAGCTTGGGTAGGCTTTGCGATGGTGGCCTTTCTTTCCTGGCCCCTCTTCTCTCCCCACTCCCTGATATGCTACTACTGAACATGAACGGTACAGGTAGCAGCATGCCAACTTGATGTTACATTGTCTTCAACTGCCCCCTGATATGCCAGCATGATGAGACACCTTAGTCAGGCTCGCGGTATTGGGATAACCTGGTTACCAATACGTTAACACTTTCGTCTTTTGGGGAGGCGCGGTCGAGCTCGAATCGAGCACTCTTCGTGCAAACTGCGCATCGCTACGGCTGCAGCGGCCGATACGTGTGTGTGAGAGAGAGAGTATGTTGCGTGTGCGTGTGTGTGTGTATGTGTGTGTGTGCGCCTGCGTGCTTGCGTGCGTGCGTGCGTGCATGCGTGCGTGCGTGCGTGCGTGCGTGCGTGGATGTGTGTGTGTGTGTGTGTGTGTGTGTGAGAGTGTGTGTCTGTGTTAAATCGACGAGCCACATGCCTGGAGGGATTTCCAGTGGCGCTTGGCCCAGGTGTAACAAGCCGTCATCCGACGGCTGGTGACTTTGTTGTGCACTTTGTTTACGGCGCGTCCGTCTGGGCGCTCCTGTAACAGGTTTCCTGGAATGTTTGCATTGGGCGGAGGGGGAGAAGGGAGAGGTCTGGGATCGAGCACGCCCGGAAACCTAGATCCTTGATCCTCCTTCCTCCTGGAGGTCTTGGCCTTCCTCCCTCCCGTCCCCCTCCCACGCGAGGTGATGTTCATCGGCAATTGGAGGCACAGGCCGAACCGCGACTGCCGCGGGCTCGGCCGCCCGTCGTCGTCATCGTCGTCGTCGTCGTCGTCGTCGTCGTCGTGGGTCGGGGTCGTCGTCGTCGCCGTCGTCGTCGTGGGTCGGGGTCGTCGCCGAGGGGGGAGGCGTGGAGGAGGGTCTTGTCCAGAGAAGGACCCGCCCTCCATGCTTCTGGCCATGAGAATAGTGCTACATCGTGGTGAGTCTGCGCATGAGGCGGAGTGTGGGCTGATCTGCCGCCCGCTCGGTGAGCCATCCGTCCCCCCTGAGCCGCTCGCTCCGTCCGCTCCTCTTTCGGCCGCGCCCTCCCCCCGCTCCTCCTCTTGCATGGTGGCACAATTCGCCATAACGGCATCCCCGTTTAGGCATCCCATCGCCAGCGCAGACGTCCCCTGCCTAGCCGCCGACGCAAAAAATGGGTTGATCTGCGTACGAGTGAGTTTGGCTATGAGTGAATCTGAGTACGAGCGAGTCTGAGAACGAGTGACTCTGAATCAGGGTAAGCTTGGAGTATGAGCAGGTCTGAGTCGGAGCACGTCTGCGGGCGAGTGGGTAAGGGTTTCGAGTTCGCCAGGTCGAGCGAGTCAGCGGGCCGCACCCGTTCGCGCCCTCCCATTGAAGCGGAGCTGACGCATTTTGGTACTGGGACTGGCGCGCGTTCCCATGTAGCGAACCGATGGCACTCGCGAGCCGCCCCGCTTCCGACGACTTGGCGAGGGGGAAACAACACGGTCCTCGCATAGCAGCGACGACGAGGTCGACAACGTCGACGACGAAATTGGCAGCAGTTTCCGCGACTTCCACGACGTTGGCGTCGGCGGCGGCGTCGTCGACATCGGCGGCGACCCCGACGGCCGGCGGGGCGGGCACGTGCGCCGAGCCCAGGCGCCAAGTGGCTGGTTCGGGAGGTGTGGCCGCACGTGCACGAGCTGCTGCCCGAGCTGCGGCCCCTCGCCGTCGCTGCTGGAGTCGCCGCGGTCGGCTGCTGCCGCCGTTCTCGCCGCCGTCGCCACCGTCGCCGCCGTCGTCGCCGTCGCCGCCGCCGTCGCCGTGCACAACTGTGAGGGAATGGCGACCCAGCCTTGCCATGGCATCGCCAACCATCCACCAAGGATCGAGGTCATGATCCTGGGGCCTCCAGTCCCAACTGCAACACCAACAGTCGTGTACCGCCAGTTTGTCCGTCATATGAGTGGTGAAACCCGTCGCCAGCTCAGCTGCGATGACCAGGCCCAGCAAAGCTCCACGGTACACAGTCTGACGACGCCCTGGAAGAGGTCCTAGCACGACGCCATCCGTTTTCATGAAGCAGGTGTCCATTACGAATGAGGAGGAGGAGGTGGAGAAGGTGGAGAAGGAGGAGGAGGAGGAGGAGGAGGTGCTCTTCCCCCCGTGGATCAGCGGATTTTTGCCACGCGGGCCCCAAGATCTCTCCATCCGGTCTTGGGAACTGGTCATTTGTCCTGGGCCCCTGGGCTGTTTTCGGATGCACTCAGAGCCCGGAACCCTGCCCCCAGAGACCCATGTATGGCGGTTTCGCGTCGTGCCGACCGGCGGCGATCCCACCGCGTGCGTTTAAGGTTGAACGCCGCCCGTGACCCACAATCGGCCCATCGTTGAACGACCCGTTGTTCATGGAACGTCCGATCGTTCAAATTTGAACGATCCCCGCGGTGTCAGGAGCCAACGCCGGGGTCGACACGACGCGAACCTGTCGTAACGGAAAACATGCCGCCTCGATTTTCTCCTGGCGCCGGATGGTTTGCGCACCCGGCCTCGAAGTCGACCTCTCCAGGGTTGCGTTCGGGCCGGAGTTTCGAGGCAGATCCAGCCGTGGCGACGAGAGGGCCCCAGGATAACCAGAAAGCCATCCAAAAACATTCCGAGACCTCGAACTCCGATCCTTGAGACCCGACGCCGTGAAAAGATGCATCATCGTGGAAAACAGGGGCCCTCGACACTCTCCTCCCGCAGCATTTCCCTGGCCTGACCGATTCGTGAGAGCCCCAGGCGAAACCAGTGGAAAACGCCAGACCCTGGGCTCCCCCCTCCCCCCGATCACGGCCCCTCACGGCTGTACCCTCCCCTAGGGTGGCCCCGACAACCGCCACCCACTTCTGCACTCCCTCCGCCTGCGCAGCCTGGTCGGTGTCGCCGCTGTAGTGCTCGTGGCCTCAGCGCAGGTGGCCTTTCTCTCCCGGCCCTGGCCTGGCCGTCTGCTCGTGGTGGCTCACCTCTCGCTCCTCCTCGTCTCCCGTCCACCGTCTTTGGATCCTGTTGCCTGCGTGCCTCCTTCCCTGCGCCACTTTGCGTCTGCCCGCCCGCCTGCCTTGCTCAGCCGGCCCTAGCCTCCCGCCCGCGCCCTCGTCGTCGTCTGCTCGCTGCTCGTTCCCCCTCTCTCTCTCTCTCTCTCCGTCGCCGCGCAGCTCAGACTGGCGACGCGGGTCCAGCAGCGCGGCGAGAGACCTGCGGCTGTTGCGCGTCGTCGTCACGTCGTCGTCCTTCGCAGAACGCCCGGTGCCAACAAATGCGACGCCCAGCGACTCGAAGCGCCGCCAGCGACCCACCTTGGGAGGCTCAACGTTTACGGCGCCAACCACACGGCAGAGGACATGGCGCTCACTGATGAGCGCATCGGCGCGGTGGTCCAAGGAGAGACCCAGCGGGGGGGGGGGGCTCCTCGCGGGCTGCCTGGCTCGTCCTCCTCTTGGCTCCTGGCGCCATGCGGGCGGGCGCGGGTCTCTCCCCGGAAGCCCGCTCGCGTCGACCGCGGGTGCCGCGGCCGAAGCCCGGACGCGCGTGCGCGCGTGCCTACGACACGAGCGCGCACGCACATACGCACACACACACACACACGACCAGGAACGAGGCGCACGCTAGACGCGTGCGTGCACGGGAGCGCGCGACAACGAGCGCGCGCACACGCGAGCGTGCACCCTCTCCTGTTTCTCCTCCTTTGCTCCTTGTTCTGATGAGGAGCTCATCCCTGTCGCACTCCTGGACGTGTCGGTAGGGCGCGCTGGGCGTTTCGCTTGAGACGTCCTGTCCATTTCTGATCCTGAGGCTTGAAGCTTGCAACGGTTTCGAAGATGGAAGGTGGGTGGTTTTCAACATGTGGCACTCGTTTTTCAGCGCCGTGCACATTTGCTTTTGAAGAGTGTGTGGAGGACGGGTCGTTTTCAACATGTGGCTCTCGCCTTCGCGCCGCGCACATTCATTTTAAAGGCACGCAGCAGTTTCAAAGATGGAGGGCAGGTGGTTTTCAACATGTGGCTCTCGCCTTGGCGCCGTGCACATTCGTTTTTACAGTTTTCATCAGTTTCAAGGATTTGTAGGCTTGAAGTCCCAGGGATAGTGTTCTGGCACGGTTTCGGAGTGTCAGGACGCAACAGTCACGGTGGATTCGCGGCGTTGAGGTCCCAGGACTTGTGTTTTAGCACGATTGAGGACTCCCAGACGGTTCTCTTTCAATGGGGCACTTCCCAAGATGAGCATACAGTTGTTTAGGGGCCTCTGAAGAGGGAACTTGGAGCGAGGGTTTGTTGCAACATCGCTGATGCGTCTTGGGTCTGCACTGGTCCTCCTCCTCCTCCTCCTCCTCCTCCTCTCGCGGGCTCCTCGCCGCCCCGCCCCGACTCGCCTGCGGGCGCTGCGCGCCCCCCGGCGGCCCTGCCAGGGCGCCGTCCATCCTCGCCCCCGCAGTGGCCGAGCGGCCGAGCCCCTTCGTCAGCGTCTAGCTTTAAGACTCCTGCGGGCGGGTCTGAGGGCGTGGCCGGGAGCGGCGAGGACTCGGCGGCCGCCTCCCCGGCTCCCGCCTTCGGAGGGAGGAGGAGCGGCACCACCACCACCACTGGGGGGCTCATTACCTCCAGCGAGGAGGCCCACGATGCCTCGAGCTGTGGATCGGAGGTGCCTCGAGCACGAGCAAGAGCGGGGGGGTCCACACCACCAGCAGGACCCTGGCTCCTCGCGCTCGCGGTGGTGTTGTTGTTGCTCGCCCCTGGTATCCCTCCCCCCGAGGGTCCCAGCGATGGCCGAGCCCCTCCGTGGGCGGCTGCTTCGGCTTCCGCGGCGAGCTGGGGGCCCGGCGGGGAGCGGCGCGCCGTGCAGCGGCGGCGGGCCCTCGGAGGCGACGAGATGGGCGAACGGCCCGGGGGAGATCAGCAGAGGGGGGCCGTACCTCAGGAACGAACGAAGCACGTACACGTCCATCAATCCACGTTGGCCTCGAAAGTACGGATTGCGCGAGCGTTCGTACCACGCGGCTGGTCTCGCGGACTGGGGGGCCGTGTTCATGTACGTGGTTGGGCGCGTACGTCTTGTGTGGGCTCCCCACGGGGTAGGGGAAGGGGGCTCGCACAAGCACCCTGCTTCTTAGAATGCGTGGGCCTTCTCTATAGATGTAGGGCCGGCGCCTTCTGAGAAGCTGTGCGCGCCCCAAAGGAGTGCATTGTATTTGTTCGCCAGGGAGCTTTGCGCAACACGTATGCCGTCAGCGCTCGCGGATGCAGGAACGTGTTTCTTCATTGCTTGGGGCATAACGGGCGGTATAGCCCCCGGCGCCCCCCCATATAACGTAACGCCCCACCCACCCAGTGCGCCCCAGGCAGTGCCGCCGTGCGCATCTGGATCCGCATAGGCGTCCGCATATGGATCCACATAGGGGTCTGGTCCGCAGTCGTCGTCGTCGTCGTCGTCGTCGCCGTCGTCGTCGTCGTCGTCGTCGTCGTCGTTGTCGCGCGTTGCTCGTCGTTCGTTGCTCATCGTCGTCGTGCGCGCGGACGCGGCTGGATCATTTTTTCGTTGTTGCTGTTGTTGTTGTTGTCGTTGTCGTCGTTGTTGTTGTTGTTGTTGTTGTTGTTGTTGTTGTTGTTGTTGTTGTTGTTGTTGTTGTTGTTGTTGTTGTTGTTGTTGTTGTTGTTGTTGTTGTTGTTGTTCGCGAGGACACTACTGGAGGCCCGTTGCTCGACCCCCCCCACCCCGAGCAACGCCACGGGGCCACGTACGGGGCCAGAGTGTCCCACAGGATTCCATCGGAACCCTACTGCAGGATTCTATAGGAGTCGTATAGGGAGGAGGAGCTGGCCTCGCTGGCGCGCGGTCGGTTCTCGGACACAGGAGTGCGTGGGGAACAGTAAGGGAGCCCACGGAGATTCGGAAACACATATAGATTTACGTCAGCGTATGACAGAGGTGTTGCGCGTTGCTCCCCCCCCCGGGGGCAACAACTGCAACGCGTGGCCTGGGGGAGTGCGCTCGCCCTGTGGGCGAGGACACCGCCACGGGCCCCGCCGGGGTGGCCTGAGAGGTTGTTGTTGTTGAACATTATTAATTCTAAAGAATAATTATTGTTGGGCCCCCTGGTGCACGCCCCCCCCCCCCGCGCCTAGGCCGCAGCCACATTTTCATAATTTTCGTCAGGAAGTCTCAGGTAAAACGATGTCATCCAGATCCGGTTGTTTTGTTGACGCCCGCTTTCCCTGTCAAAAAACACTATAAAATGACATGTCTTGTTCTAACATAACCAAACTTCAAGAATCCTTTGCAAAAAATGACACGAAGTGCACACTCGCGCGCGCAAGATGAAATCCTTCCAAAACCTTAGTTTTCGTAGCGATTTTAACATAAAAACATGAAAAACCCAATGGTTTTTCAAAAAAAAAGTTTCAAAAAATCATCTTGCGCGCTCTTGCGGATTTCTGAGGAAACCCAATATTTTTTCAACATTTCTGTCAAACGGGCTCTTGCGAGCAACTTTTTCACGTGCTTCGAACTTCTGCAACAACGGTTGCGCGCATGCCAGGGCCATCATCCCTGTCAAATAATACCATATTGGACACATTCGTTTTTTCTTCGCGCGCGCACGCCGTCGTCGTCGGCCGCGGGGCCCTGAATAGTAGCCACGGTCGTCCGCATGCCACGAAGTGAAGTGTCCGAACGTCATAGGGCGGGAAGCTGGGTGTGGGTGGTGGCGAAGAGTCGTTTGGAAATTTGGTAGAGCTTGAACCGGCCCCCCCACAAAGTGGGGGTATTGCCCGCCTCCTATGAAAACCCTGGCACTGGTGAGAACGGAGTGTCCCCACGTGCTAGTAATTGTTGTTGTTGTTGTTGTTGTTGTTGTTGTTGTTGTTGTTGTTGTTGTTGTTGTTGTTGTTGTTGTTGTTGTTGTTGTTGAATTCTACTACTGAAGAATAATTATTGTTGATCCCCCCCCTCCGGCGGACATTGTTTTTTTTCAATTGAAGTGCCCCTTCCGGGGCTCGCACCCTGTTTTTTATCAGGGAAAGTCGTGGGCATCAAACTGCGTTGTTGGCCCCCCGGACAACAACAACAACGGCTCCCGCCTGATACTTCCTCCAAATTTACTCAGGACCCCCGCCCCCGCCTGGGACTTCCTCGCAGTTTACTCAGGCGGAGGCGCTCCCGCCTGAGACTTCCTCGCAAATTACTCCGGACCCCCGCCCCCGCCTGGGACTTCCTCCCACCTCTCTCCCTCCTCCCTCCTCCCTCCCCCCCCTCCTTCCTCCCCCTCCCCCTTCCCTCCCTCCCCCCCTCTCCTGCCTCCTCCCTCCTCCCTCCTGTTTCTCCTCTCTCCTTCCTCGTCCCTCCTCCAAACTCCCTCCTCCCTCCCTTCCTCCCCCCTCTCTCTTTCTCTCCCTCTCTCTCTCTCTCTCTCTCCCTCTAAATCGTCCTCCCCCCTCCGCGTCCCGTCCCTCCTAGCATCTTCCCTCCTCCCTCGTCCCTCCCTGCTCCCTTCCCTCCTCCCTCGTCCCTCCGCCCGCCCTTCCAAAGAGAAATAATCCCCCTAAAGGGGGTACGTTCGAATACTAAGAGGGCGGGTATCGAGGGTGTGCCTCGTGATTCATTCAGGATTCACCCTTTAGTCACCCGCCCGCCAGGTTTCGCCCGCCCGATCCGCCTGTTACAGCCCGCCCGTTCGCTCTCTTGGCATCTCGCCCGCCCGCTTTAAGCCACCGCCCGCCCGACCCGCCAGCGAGGGTCCGCCGCCCGACCCGTCCGTTGGCGTCCGCCCGCCCCGCCAGCCCGACCCGCCCCTCAGAGTCCGCCGCTCGACCCGTCTGTCTGGTTCGTCCGTTTGTTTACCTCCTCTTTTGCCCCCCTCCCCTCCTGCTAACCTCTTTCGTCCTCCATCCATCCTCCCCCCCTTGCCCCTTCCCTCCTCCCTCCCTCCCCCCACTCTTTTCCTCCTCGCTCTCCCTTCCTCCTTCCCCCTGCTCTTCCTGTTTTAGGGGCTGCGCCAACTACACGTGGCGAGTAAAAAAGATATACCCCCAAAGGGGTATGACCGAAGACGAAGAGGGTGGGTATCGAGGGTTTGGGATTTACATATTGAGTGACGCGCGCGCATATAAGAGCGATCAGTCTTAAGATGATTGTTGTTGTTGTGTTGTTGTTGTTGTTGTTGTTGTTGTTGTTGTTGTTGTTGTTGTTGTTGTTGTTGTTGTTGTTGTTGTTGTTGTTGTTGTTGTTGTTGTGGTTGTGGTTGTGGTTGTGTTGTTGTTGTTGTTGTTGTTGTTGTTGTTGTTGTTGTTGTTGTTGTTGTTGTTGTTGAACTCTAATTACTGAAGAATAATTATTGTTGATCCCCCCCCCTCCGGCGGACATTGTATTTTTTCAATTGAAGTGCCCCTTCCGGGGCTCGCACCCTGTTTTTTATCAGGGAAAGTCGTGGGCATCAAACTGCGTTGTTGGCCCCCCGGACAACAACAACAACGGCTCCCGCCTGATACTTCCTCCAAATTTACTCAGGACCCCCGCCCCCGCCTGGGACTTCCTCGCAGTTTACTCAGGCGGAGGCGCTCCCGCCTGAGACTTCCTCGCAAATTACTCCGGACCCCCGCCCCCGCCTGGGACTTCCTCCCACCTCTCTCCCTCCTCCCTCCTCCCTCCTCCCTCCTCCCTCCTCCCTCCCCTCCTCCCTCCCTCCCTCCTCCTCCCTTCTCCCTCCCCTCTCCTGCCTCCCTCCTCCGTCCTCCCGTCTGCCTCCTCCCTCCCCTCTCCTGCCTCCTCCCTCCTCCCTCCTGTTTCTCCTCTCTCCTTCCTCGTCCCTCCTCCAAACTCCCTCCTCCCTCCCTTCCTCCCCCCTCTCTCTTTCTCTCCCTCTCTCTCTCTCTCTCTCTCTCCCTCTAAATCGTCCTCCCCCCTCCGCGTCCCGTCCCTCCTAGCATCTTCCCTCCTCCCTCGTCCCTCCCTGCTCCCTTCCCTCCTCCCTCGTCCCTCCGCCCGCCCTTCCAAAGAGAAATAATCCCCCTAAAGGGGGTACGTTCGAATACTAAGAGGGCGGGTATCGAGGGTGTGCCTCGTGATTCATTCAGGATTCACCCTTTAGTCACCCGCCCGCCAGGTTTCGCCCGCCCGATCCGCCTGTTACAGCCCGCCCGTTCGCTCTCTTGGCATCTCGCCCGCCCGCTTTAAGCCACCGCCCGCCCGACCCGCCAGCGAGGGTCCGCCGCCCGACCCGTCCGTTGGCGTCCGCCCGCCCCGCCAGCCCGACCCGCCCCTCAGAGTCCGCCGCTCGACCCGTCTGTCTGGTTCGTCCGTTTGTTTACCTCCTCTTTTGCCCCCCTCCCCTCCTGCTAACCTCTTTCGTCCTCCATCCATCCTCCCCCCCTTGCCCCTTCCCTCCTCCCTCCCTCCCCCCACTCTTTTCCTCCTCGCTCTCCCTTCCTCCTTCCCCCTGCTCTTCCTGTTTTAGGGGCTGCGCCAACTACACGTGGCGAGTCAAAAAGATATACCCCCAAAGGGGTATGACCGAAGACGAAGAGGGTGGGTATCGAGGGTTTGGGATTTACATATTGAGTGACGCGCGCGCATACAAGAGCGATCAGTCTTAAGATGATTGTTGTTGTTGTTGTTGATGTTGATGTTGTTGTTGTTGTTGTTATTATTGTTGGTGTTGTTGTTGTTGTTGTTGCTGTTGTTGTTGTTGTTGTTGCTGCTGCTGCTGCTGCTGTTGTTGTTGTTGGTGTTGTTGTTGTTGTTGTTGTTGTTGCTGCTGCTGCTGCTGCTGTTGTTGTTTGTTGTTATTGTTTGTTTTGTTTGTTAGTTTGTTTTTGTTTGTTTTTTTGTGTTTTAATTTTATTTCCCGGCCGATGACGGCCGCCATTTGGGGAGGGGGTAGACCACGCCGCTTATGCACACCACAGCAGCCGCGCGCGCCAGTGTGCGCCACAGTGCCTGCGAGCACCACAGCGCTTGTGTACCCCACATCAGGCGTGTGCAACACAGCACCCGTGTACACCACAATGCCTGCGTGCATTACAGCGCCTGTGTACACCACGTCGCCTGTGTGCTCCACAGCAACCATATGAAACAAAACACCTCCTTTGCATATAGTCTTTTATAAGAAATCATTATGGCAACATGGAGCGCCAGTGCATTCCACATAAAACAATGGTTTTGTATAGTATTCGGACGGGAATTTTTATGGGAAAAGAGCGCCGCTGGAATCTACAAGTCCTCCCGAATCTTTCCGTATCATCCTGACTCCTCCCATCTGCGGCCAGGAGGCTCCATCAGAATTGGCCGTCCGAGAACCAAGTGAATTGATTCAATCGACCATTCTGCGGTTCGCGCTGACATGCGCACGGGCGCTGTAGCGCCGACCCGCACGACAGGGGGGGAGGGTGAGCGGGGAGGAGGAGGAAGAGGAGGAAGAGGAGGACGAGGAGGAGAGGAGGAGGAGGGGGAGGAGGAGGAGGAGGAGGAGGAGGAGCAGGTGGAGGAAGTGGAGATGGAGGAGGAGGGAGGAGGGAAGGACGTCGCATTGTACTGTCAGCACTCTGTGGCGTGGTGTTTAGCTGTCCGCAGCAGATCCTCACCTGCATGTTCCTTCTACCTGTCCTGTGCGCGCAGGCGCTGTGGTGTACACCAGCGCTGCGTTGCACGCGGATGCTGTGGTGTAGACAGGCGCTGTGGTGTGCACAGGCGCTGCGGTGCACGCAAGCATTGTGGTGTACACATGCGCTGTGCTGCGCATGTGGTGTGCACTGGCGCTGTGGTGAACGCAAGCACTGTGGTGTACACAGACGCTGCGTTGCACACGGCTGTCGCGGTGTACGCAGGCGTCGTGGTGTACACGCGCGCTGTTGTGCACGCGAGCATTGTGGTGTACACAGGCGCTGTGGGGCAGATCGCCGCCCACATGCTGCTCCTAGTTGGCCTCGGTCATCCTTAGGTATTCCTGGACGCCGCCAGCGCGGAACGTGACGTCATCTGGGGGGGGGCGGCGGGGCCGATGACGGCCGCTATTCGGGAAGATCCAAAAACGGGTTCCAGTGGTGCCGGAACCGCACGGCGGGGGGGGCATTACGTTATACCCCCCCCGCCCCCCCTTTCTTGATAAAACGCCCATTATCGCCGAGAAGAAGGAAACGCGCTCCAGGTGGGGCGCTCCAGGAAAGGCCGCGCCTTCGAGGATCGAAGGAGTTGCCTTCTCTGCCTTGGCAGAAGGCGGCTGAAGGCCAGCGGAAGGCGCCGGAAGCGAAAGGGGGTTTGGCTCCGCCGGCGGAAACCGGCGGAAGTAAAAGATGCGCCCCCAGGAGATGACAGCATTTTTCAGTTCAGGGTTTCTGGACTCGGCCATGTATTGCTCCCCCCCTGGACTGTTCGCCCATGTCGTCGTTCCCGAGGCCGGCGCGCGTCCCGTCCGCGGGTTGGGCGCGTTGTCCTCCCGCGTGGCCAGCGGGCCGCAGAAAGGCGCCGAGCCGTCGCGCCGCGGTGGGGCGCATCGAGGTGCATCGGGGCCCACGCGGGAGGCGGAGGGAGGGGGAGGGGCCGGCCGCAGGAGGGAGAAGCGAGAGCCATTTCGGAGCGCGCCAGGCGCAGCCACGGGTTGGAGCGCCTCGGCGTGCGGTCGAATGCGGCTCGCTCTCGCGCTTCCCGCAAAGTGCTGACCGGCCGATGATATTCGCCGCGGTGGTGGACACAAGATCCCACAGGCCCACCTCTCGCTGTCACTGCCACCACTTCGTTGCAGAACTTGAGCGGCTGGCCTGCTTTGGTGTTCTGTCGGGCGCAGCCAGCGCCTCGCGCACAGCAGAGCGCCGCCACAGGTCGGCCGTCGCTGTTCCATCCTGTCGGTGCGGTGTGGTCGTGGACGGGACGCGCTCCATACACCTGGCCATGCCGATCCCGGGCCCAGGGCCCAGCCTCGGTGTGTATGCCCTCCTGCCCAGGCCAGGAGTGCGCGCAGGCACCGATCCTGGGCCCAGGAGGGGCCCCGCCAGGAACGGTGCGTTTTTTTTTTTACTTGGCGCCCTCCCAGGTCGGCCCACCCACCGCCCTCCCTGGCCTCTCGGGTCCGGGTTTTCCCCCCGCCTCTCTGCCTTCCCTGCCGCTCCCCCTTCGCCCGCCCCCCCCCCTCCCGCAGGGGCTGCAGGGCGCACGGGGCGCGGCCTTCTCAGAAGGCAGGGGGGACCTTTTGGAAGGGTCTTGCCACTCAGAAGCCGCACGCTGCTCGCCGCCGATGTATCTCCCTCCGCCTTCCCGCTCGTCCCGCTCGTCTAACAGGAGGCCGGGTGAACGCGTTGTGGCCAGGCACGGGCGGTGGTTGGATGCGCGCGTGGCCGCACGACTTCCCAGCGCCCAGCCCTCGTGCGTAAGTGACGGGGGGGTGTCTGGCCCTCCGCACGTGTGCCTGGAACTCGACCTCCGCACGCTCCACTAACCGCCGCGTGTGTGCTCTGGCGTCGTGGCAGTTCCCCCCCTGGCGGCGAGGCTACTGCAAGGACGTCGGCCAGGCGATGCGAGGGCACCGCCTGCTCGCTGCTCCGCTACGCTACGGCGCGGGCGTGAAGGGCAAGCTGGTGGAGGCGTTCGTCCCTCTCTCTCTCTCGCCTTGCTTGCTTGCTTTCTTGCTTGCTCTCTCTCTCTCTCTGTATCTTTCTCTCCGTCTGTCTGTCTGTCTGTCTGTCTCTGTCTGTGTCTGTGTCTGTGTATGTGTCTGTGTCTGTGTCTGTGTGTCTGTGTCTCTGTGTCTGTGTGTCTGTGTCTCTGTATCTGTGTGTCTGTGTGTCTGTGTCTGTGTCTGTAAGTCTGTGTCTGTGTCTGTGTCTGTGCCTGTAAGTCTGTGTCTGTGTCTGTGTCTGTGTCTGTGTCTGTGTCTGTGTCTGTGTCTGTGTGTTTGTGTGTCTGTGTGTCTGTTTGTCTGTGTCTGTGTCTGTGTCTGTGTGTGTGCCTGTGCCTGTAGCCTGTAGCCTGTAGCCTGTGCCTGTGCCTGTGCCTGTGCCTGTGCCTGTGCCTGTGCCTGTGCCTGTGCCTGTCTGTCTGGGCCCCGCTCGCAGCGGCTGCTGGCCCCGCCCCTGGGTACGCCCGCGACGCCGCCCCGCGCCGCCGCGTGAGAGCGCCCCCCTCCCCCCCTCCCCCTCCGCGGCCGCCCTCTTCAGGCCTTCCCCCAGTCTTGCATGCGGGACAGTTCGCAATGCCGTAGCCCGGGCTGCTCGACGCGCGAGCGGATCGCTTCTGCCGCGCCGCGACGGAAGAAGTCTGTGTCTCTCTGTCTGTCTCGCGTGCGAGCCGCCGAGGAGTTTACACCTCGCTCTCGGCGGAGGCCCTCGGGAGCTGGCGGAAGGCCGGCGGTACTCAAAGGTGAGCCCCGAAGTGGGGTCAGTTCCCGTGCACTCTGTGTTTCTGGACCAGCTGGCCTGCTCCCCAGACCTCCGGTGTAGTGAGTCAAGCGCCAGTTTTGCGTTTTGGGGCCGTTTCCAGGCCCCTGATGGCCCACAAACGGGCCGCCCGCGGCGAACAGGCGGTTCCGAGGATGGGGGAGTTTTCGGGCCAACGTCGTGGAGCAGAAGCGCGATGTCGGAGGACTGGGACTCGCACGCTACCTTGGCCGTTCCGGCTGCCGAGCTCAGCTGAGAGTGCCGAGGGTGGGTCAGCTCCCAAACAGTTGGGCAGGAGGCGGCCGATTACCGCATGTTGCTAACTCCCTGCTTGCTGTCGTCTCCCCTCTGTCCCTTCCCGCCTGCCCGCCCGCCTGGTTCGTCCCGCTGGCCCTGGCCCCCCGCCTGCGTGTTCGCCGCCGTCCGCTTGCTTCTCCTCCCTCCCTTTCTCGAGCTGGGATCACTGCATGGTATTTCGGACAGGACCGAACCGGGAGCAATCGAGAACAGGGCCAACTCCCGGCGATCAAAGCAGGGCGCAGAGCATAGCCCAGAATAGGCGCGGCACAGGCAGCCCAGGCCAGCGACGTCCTCTGCAGGCAGGGCGCAGGGCCGAGGCACGAACGGTCGGGAGCAGAGCCAGGCCCAGAAAATTATCTGCAGCCACGGCGCCCAGCCCAGCGGGGAGCAGCGGGGCCAGCCAGGGGAAGGGCCGACAGTCATCGCGCAGGGCAGGGTCGGGGACAGCAGGCAACAGGGCTGGCCACTGAAGATGCCTGCGGTCGGGAGCAGACCGAACCATGAGCAGGCAGGAGCACGGCTTGCGATGAACTCGCTTGGAACATTGTTGGCAATGAACCCAGTTTGCTTTCAGTGTGCCTTGTTGTTCCTTGTTGTTTTGCTTCGAGGTGTCCACAGAACTGGCCCGTAACCAGGACAGGGCCAAACCAGGAACAGTTGAGAACAGAGTCGGCCACGGAAGTTGCCCGCAGCCTTGAATCTTCGTTCGCAAAGCCTAGAACTATTCCAGTATAACCCTTGATAATGCGGCAGACGCGAAACATCCATAATACATGCATGTATTATGCAGTGTTGCCCACTCTCAGGCCTCCCCGAGCAGTGGCCTTTCGTCATCGCCCGTTGCAGTGCGCTCCTCGTGTGCTGCCCGCTTTCTTGTCGCACGCCGTCGTGCTTCATCTGGCAGAACAGAGGTTTTCCTCTTTCTCTTGTGTGCTGCTGGTCTCGCTGTCGCCGTGTGCAGTCCCCGCTATGTTTTTCCCCAATCAGAGCTTGCCTCTGTAGGGTCCTAGCGGATTTAAGGGTAGGTGAGGTGCGCCGCCGATTCGGTGGCCGGGCCCGGGTGCCTGGGTGCCCGGGTGCCCGGGTTTGCCGCGAATCGATTCGGTGGCCGGGCCCCGGTGCCCGGGTGCCCGGGTGCCCGGGTGCCCAGGTTCGCCGCCGATTCGGTGGCTGGGCCCGGGTGCCCGGATGCCCGGGTGCCCGGGTGCCCCTAGGCTCGCACATGACCATTATAGTTAGTCACGCATGCGTGATTATAATCACGCATGCGTGATATGGCGATGCCAAAAGGTGTGATTCATCATACAAAATCGTCTGATCTGCCCATTTCTTGTTGGAATCCAACCATTTAGTGAAAAAACATACCCTTTATAATCACGCCTCACCCTTTTTATTAAAAATCACGCGGGCATGCCAATTTTACTGGGGATGTATAGGTCGGAACATTATACAATTACCTTCATCCTGCTTTGTGGCCTCCTCCTCATCATCATGCCTCCTGCTCTTCCCTGTATTCCTATTAAGCCCGAAGCCCGCCAAAGGGGCCTACAGAGACGCCCAATGGTTACCAGTCTGGTCTCGTGAGCCGTCAGCAGAGCGACCGCCACCGCAACCGCCAGCATCCATCATCATTGTCATGTAGCTGTTTTTGGCCCAGGGCTGTCAGTATGACTGCGAAGCGAGAGTACCGAAACACAGTGGACGTTCCTTACGATATTGCAGCACATGCGTTTTCTCTTTTTGCCGCCTCTCGCCCACAGCAAAGATGGTTACAATCGTTTGTACCCCAGCAAACCATTCAACAATGCACCCTGTTGGTCCGCTGGTGCCCACCTACTCAACAGCCTGAAAGTTTTACTCGACGGGTCTACTGGCCACAATGTGCACCAGAAGAATATGGTTGAACACGTAAGTAAGTGGGTGGATGACCAAGGGTTGGATTGGACCGACGACGTGAAGGAGATAATCATATTCTCTATGAGGCGCTTGATGTCCCAGCTTTTGGGATAAACCCAACGCTCAACCAGCATCGTCGCCTACACAAGCTGGGGAAGCGGAGGAAGAATCCGAAGATAGGATCGAGATTGGGGACGCCGCCGAGGGGCAGCTGATCGAGATCTCCGACAGCGACGCTTCCATCAACATCGGGAAGATGAGCTCTTCAGCAGCACCGATCCCGCATTGGACGCACTTCTGAAGGCAGGGGGCAACACGACCGACACTAGCCAGAAGAAGGCAACGGCCCAGTCTTCTGATGCGAGTTTGCGCATCGATCTACCACCAGGGGATATCGAGCGACTTGTTGCCAGTACGGCGGGGGGCGTGACGGCGAGCAAGTTCAAGAAGTTGAGCGCCAAGCTCAAGGAGGACCGTCAGAAAAACAAAAACAAAGGATTGCGATGAGGGCGTCTCGCCAATGAAAAAAAGGAACACATAATGATGAAGGCCGAGCCCTCAACCAAAGGCGGAGGTTCACAGAAGATGGTCAGGAAGAGGCCCGCTATGTCCGATGGTCTTTGCAGTGCGTTTCTCAAGCGTGAACACCCCAAAGCATTCTCGGCAGCACGGAAGAAGGCTGCGACGGAGGGGAAGTCCGCCGATGAGATTCGGGCTGCAAGCTCTGCGGCAGGAAAAGCACGCATGTCAGAGCTTCGTGGACTATTCGAGAGGAAATGCATCAATCGAGTAGGTGAGCCGATTAAGGAGGGTGGTGACTAGATGCTGCACTTCAGCACTCTTGGGCAAACGCCCCAGTGGGTCAACACGTCCCAGCTTCAGTAGAGCAGGTGTTGCTTGTCTCTGCCTTTCTTTAGACAATCACATTTCCCGTCCATCCGTCCCTGTCAATGTTTCCCTCCGTATGTCCATATGCACATCTCTCTCTCTCACTCTCGCTCCCTCTCTCTCTCTCTCTCGCTCTCTCTCTCTCTCTCGTGTGTTCTCTCTACAAGCACATAGGCAAACGCCATGTACATATACAAACATATGTGTACATGCGTGCGTGTATACATACATGAGACGGGTTTATGTACACATGTATGCAGACGCGCGTACATGCAGGTATGTGTACGCATTTATGGATGAGCACGTTATGTGTTGGCGTACGTATTACTACACATGTTTGTAGGTATGTATGTATTATATATGTGTATGTGTAGGGGCTGGTGTTTAGACTACAGACCTGTAGGCACACAAACATACGTATGCGTCAGGTTGTCATGCTGGCCCTGCTTGCTCTATCCATTTCAGTTGTCCTCCGTCGGAGGCTGGCGCTTAGCCGTGCTGCATGCGTTCCGCCGCGGCGCCTGCTCCGAAGGACCAGCGGTGAAGCGCATTCAGACCAGCGCAAACAACCTTATCGATTCTCCGCTTCATCCTCCGCCTGCCTCCCCCCCCCCCCCCCGCATCTTCATGTCCCCCACCAGCTTGTTCCTCCCTCTGAGCAGCGTGCATGCCCCAAGGGGCGTGTGGGAGCCCCCCCCCCCCCCCCGGCGCTACCAGCAGATGCGGGCGTCGCTGGTCCCTCGCCCCTCCTGCTTCGGTTGCGCCTATAGTCCCGAGAGGGGCCGCCTTGGGTACTCGGCCTTCGCCTCTCAAGCCAGCGCGCGCTGTTTTCGTGGGCATGTACTTAGCTGTCGCAGAATCCTGCGGCATGTTTGGTCGTCGTTGCTTACTGAGTGTCCGCGCTCGCGAAATAGGAAAAACGACTTGGAGCGATTGCCATGCCCCCGAAGGACCATTGCCACCAACAACATACCACCATCGCTACCGTAATCATCGCAACCGCTGCAATAGCCAGCCACTACCATCATTGCCATCATCCTCACGTGGACGAATATGATCGTGACCATCGGCATCATCGCTGCCATCCTTACCATCACATCCACTACCATCATCAGGATCAACTT